CCAAAATTTTTAATTAAAGAAAAAATTTGGGTTTATTATCCATTATACAACTTCAAACAAAAATGTCCCCAATATTTTTATAATTAGGGTTTAAATTTTCTTTAAAACGGGTTCACTAAATTTAAAATTTTTCCCCCATATGTTTCATATTTAGGGTTTTTTCCCAAAAACGGGTTTCTTTTTCAAAATTTACCCCCATTAAAATTTCAACGCGCCCAGAAATATTTCAATGTTGTAGTTTTTAATTTTTTTCAAAATCAATTATTTTATTTACAAATTTTTTTGATCGGGTTCTTTACCCAGTGTCGAAACAAAATATTCGCCCAATATTCGACAAATTTAAGTTTGGGATAAATAAAAACTTCGAAATCGACAAAATTCTTTCAACAAAATTTGCCCCGCCCCGGGGTACATCTAGCTCATTCTACATTAAATTATCTAAAAATTTTGAAAAATTTGGTTTGAAATAAACAACATTTTTAAAACAATAAATTTTAAAAGATAAAATAAAATACCAAAATTTAGTTTTTTCAAAAGTGTAAATATTTTTATTCTAATTTAAAGAATTTTTTTATAAATTCTCAAAAAAACACAAAAAATAAATTTTAACCAATGATACTTTAAATTTTTAAATGTAAAGGGAATTTAGTGTTTTTTAAAATTGCTTTTTTAGAAAAGAAAAACAGAAAAAATTACAAAAAGCGCATGAAAAATACCCCCTACTTTAAGGGTCAAATTTGATATTTACCTTTTCCCCTTTAAAAGTTTTTTAAAGTAATACTATTTTACACTATTTTTAAATATTTGAAATTGACTTCTGAAAAGGGAGAAAAAAAAAACCTTTAAATTAAAAAAACATCACTTTTTTAATATATGAAAAAATTATCATTTTTTACTAAATGGGGTTTTTTTTCCAGAGCAAAATCAGGCTAAAATTTCATTTTCTTTTTTCAATTTAATATTTAATAAAGTACATGAAATTTAAAAGACTACCCATACCTCACTGAATGTTATTGTCTTTAAAAGTTTTAAAATTTGTTTTAAAAAGGGTTATTTATTTAAGTCAACTAAAGGGTTTTTTAAAACACATACAGGTATACGGGTAAAAAATTTGAGGGAAGGGAAATCCCTCAATAACAACTTTTAAAAAAAAAATATTGGGGGTAATTAAAATTTGCAACTCGAATTTTCTTAAAAATAAAAATGTATTTTAAAACGTGAAAAAGCAACGTTTCCCCGGGAACATGCGGGGAAAAATCCAATGGGTTCCCGCCGTACCCGGGGGGCACAACTAAAACGAGAGTAAAAACCAAAATATTATCTATTGGTGGTTTTTTTTATTTTAAAACCCTATTTTTTGTTCTTTGTTTTTGTGAAAAGTTGTTTAATAGCCCTTATCGAAAAAACCCAGTTGCCCATTTTCTTTAAAGAATCTCGTGTTTTCTACCGTTCTTGCTATATCCCTTTCAAGTAAAAACCCTTTAAAAACCTTGTCGTTTCAGAAATTTGATCTCAGAAAAAAGGAAAAATTTAAAAAAGAAAAATCAAAATTTTAATTTTGTTAAAAAAATTTGGAAAACCCGAAGAAGACGGTAATTTTTTTAAAATGTTTTACTTTCGGGTAACATTAAAATTTTAAACAAAATGTTATTTTTTTAAAATAAAATATTTTAATTTTTTAATATAAAATTTTTATCATGATGAAGGGTAAATTAAAAAAGTGAACAAAAGTGGTGAAGAAATTTAAAAGGGGAAAATTTTTTTACTTTTATATCAATAAATACAATTTTTTACAAATTAAAAATTTCATTTCAATAAAAAATTATTTTTTTTTTCAGATCATTTTTACTATTTTTTTTTATTGCCCCATCTTTTTGGGCGACTGCTTTTATTTATTATGTTAAATTTTCATAAAACATGACAAATAGGTCTACTTTATTTTCATGTGAGTTCACAGGTTTTTGCATTTCCACTGAGAAAATGGTACCAAATTATTCTTGTTTAAGAGAGAGAATGAATAATATTCGGTGTCACATCATGCAACAAAGAAATAATGGTTGTTTAGAATATTTAATAAAGGTTATTTATTTCTATCATTAAGCAATTAAAAATATATTTCAGCTCATAATAACAATAGTTACTTCTAGAGACTTCTTATAGGTCGCCCAAAACGGCAAATATGAAAAGACAAGAAAATCTGTATATAAAACTGATTCACAATTATTGTTTAAATTTTCAGATTAAAGGTTCGATTTTACCAATTCATTTACCGGAGAAAAACAAAATATGGCAAAGGTAATTAAACTTTTTTATATCTTAGAATTTGCCGGTATAATTTATAATATATGATAATATATGTGTTAAACAACAAAATTTTAAAAGGGACTTAAAGGTTTATTTAGTTTTAAATTACCCGGGGAAATAAAAATATTTTTTCCCGATTTAATTGGGGGCCCCAAAAAACTTTACATTTAAAGCTTGGGAAAAAAACCAAAGTTCCCCTATCTTTTGGAAACCCCGGTAGGGCCCCGTGAATTAAAAGGGGTAAAAAATTGTTTGTACCGGGATTTATTTTGGGGAAAAAAAAACCCTTTTCCAAGCCCGGGAATTAATCTATATCCCACATTTTTTATGTTTTGTTAAAATTGTTTTTTTTTCCCTTTATTATGCTTTTGAAATAACACTTTTAAAAAAAGAGGGGCCCCAGTTTAAAAAAATGGGTCTTTTTCCCCCTGTTTTGGGGTCTTTTTACGTCTCCTTTTTGGAACATTTTTAAGGGTTTGGCTTTTGGCTAATCTAATATTTGGAAAATAAATATAAAGGCAAACAGGGACAGGGAGTAAACTTGCTTTGAGAAAATTATGCATGTTTATTGTAAAAGGGTTGAACAAGCAAACAACATGTTTAAAAATCTCCTTTTTTGGAAAAAACTCAGGAGAAACTTTGGTGTTTATTTTCTTTCCCTTTAAAAAAGACTTTTTTTAATTTTGGGAGCAAATTTTTTTTGTTTTCCTTTTGATATTTAAAACACCCCAAAACTATTCTTTTCATAAATAGATAAAAATTTTGGGTTAAATCAAATTCGGGCCCCCTTTTTTTTAAAAAATTTTAAATATTTATATAAAAGTAAAAATTTCACCCTTTTCAATTAAAACATTATGCTTTAAAAGAAACACTGAGTTTTTAAAATTTTCCCAATTTTAAAAAATTTTTAAAATTTTCATGATTTTCCAATAAAATTTTTAAAACTTTCAAATAAAAAATTTTCATAAAATTTCATTTGTTTCTAAATGTTTTTATATGTAAAGTATAAAAAAAAAAAAAGGGAATTATGTGTATCTAAAATTTTTTTACTTCAACTTAAATCAAAAAACAATAGAAAAAAAAATTTTTTTTCAGATTTTACAGGGACCCAATCGGAAATTTTTTCCCTTTCCAGCAAATTAAAAAAACCCTTTTGAAATTTTTAAACACACTTTGGAAACGGAATTTGACAATGACATTTTTTATTACTTTTGTGGAAAGTTTACTTATATAGGGATTTCTACGTTTTTGATGTTTCTTAAATTTATCGGGAAAAACAACCAAAAAAGACAGTTGAACCCTACTTGAAAAAAAGGGAAAAGGAAAGAAGAATCGTGAAAAATTACTGGAAAAATGAGGGAATCTGCACAAAAAATCGCGGCCCGTTTCAGGGCCAGAAGCAGAGAACATCCTTTCATAACTTTAAAAAAGACAATGCAGCCCTATATGGACGTCTACCAACGGAAGTTGATGACGAATCACGTGATCTGTTGTTGTCAAAAACAAGTACAAGTGATTATGAAGACTCCGTTTTCAGCACAGAAACATCAAAGTTAGAATCACCAGCCACACCAAAGATATCACCATCTAGTATTTTAACACCTAAACTTGTTCGTGCAGACGGAAAACCTTTCATTCCGATACAAGTGATAAATGAAAACACAGTTTTGTAATTTTCAGATATATTTTCCGAAAGGAATTTCACCACCTTCAATATACTGACTTTAAAGCAGCATGCCTCCGGATTAATGCTAATTTTCATAAAAAAAATGAAAATGTATTTCAAAGTAAAGTATTGTGAAGTGAATATAGAAAGAAATTACATATTACAAATAAGAAAAACCAACAATATTACAAATGGCACTTACAACCCACGTAAATTACCAACATTATCAAAATATGCAAAAATTAACGTTTTTAACGCAGTAGAAATATAATAATTAATACTGCAAAGCCAGTCATTATTCGTACATAACATGTAAATTATTAACTGAATCTTAAAATATTTTTGACTGTTCTTAAAATCTTAGTACATTTTTCTCAATTTTGATTTTCTCGAATATACATATAAACTCATCTGGAGACATGTAGCTTTAAGGGTGACCTTTATTTCTACAGTAGAGGAGTATGATAAATGTGAGCTGAACATGATATTTCTCAGTTAATCATTGTCTATGTTACTGCCTATGTTGGAATCGAGACGACAAAGCTTATACAGTGTGAACTGATATCAGAGAATGTATGGAATCATAAGTTCATACCAATTTCTGATTGTTGTATAATCTTTTTTATTGGTATATAAACTATTATTTAAGAAATGCTTAATGAGAACATTGTCTATCAAAGTCTACACTTTTTTCCGTATGACTTGTGTTATTCATGCCCAAAATAAATGTACTCTTAACATATTCTCCTCTATAGGTCCACTTTACTAAAATAAAAGAAATGACTATAGATATTTGGACAGTTTCGATGTTGTGTTTTTGCATGTTTTGGAATAAATTCAACATAAAGTTTATGACATTGTAACTACGTCATAAAATGCTAACATAGTTAAGTATACCGTTTTTATGCGCCTGAAGTGAAAAACTGACTATATACCGTGTATGTTACCCATTGATAAATGAATTGTTACTTTTATCATACCATCCTGAGGTGTAGTAACAGAGTTACACCCATATTTATGCAGATACTGTGAAAAGATTAATTTCTAACTGAATGAGTGCCAATTGTGACAATAAAGATATAATGATAGGCATTCATATTTTGTTAATTACAATCTTTAAATTGCTATTTCGGTATTATTATTGATCCAATAAAATAAAATATTATAACTATTATGTGCTTCTCTTTTTTAATAAAAATAAATCTGTTGTCAAAAATGTATAAAAAGACACAGTAAGCGTACACTCCTTAAAAGCGTAAACATTTGAAACAAATAATGTAGACATAAGAGTTTGACAAAACAACAATACTACTAAATAATAATAAAGTAGAGAAGAAACTTTATAAATCACATATTATCCATGGGTATTACACCAATAAAAGCTACAATCAATTAAATCACAGCTGGTTTGAGAGCAAATTATTGAATATATATGTATACACAGATATATAATTTCTTTAGATAAATAGCCAAAATAATAATACTTAAACATTTTAATCATTTTGGGAGAGATAATAAAAATGTCCAAACCTTATCTACTTGTCGATGAAAAAGTTTTGGATGCTGACAAGCTATTAGTTTTGTGTGTTTTGATTTTTTTCTCTTTTTCCCCCCAAAGGCTTTATAAACCTTTTGCAAGGTTTCAAATATTTTTTTTGTTTCCACTCTTTAATAATTGCAAAAACCATAATTTCTCGGGCGCCTCCAAAATGTTTTCTGATATTTGTTTCCTTAGTTCCAAAAAAAAAAGGAAAAAAATCTAGACATTAAATTACAAAGTGAAATTCATTTTCTAGCTAATGACATCTATGGCATTGACGATCCCATCTACCAGTTTCGACAGCTAAGCTATGCGATGATAATCTTAAATATGTTAATGCTACTCTGATTTTTTTTTAAAAATGTTTAGTTGTTTATAAAATATAGCCTGACTCCAATCAGTTCTTAAACCTTGCATATAGTTATCTCTACGATATTGAATTAAGCTTTCTCACCCCACCCCCTGCGAAAGCCAAACATTGATAATAAAAAACAAAGTTTTGTACTAGAGACACAATTTATCCTGATTCTCATCTATATCATTTGTAAGAAAATATACACTTGTTTGACATATTTATCAGAATTATACATACAAATTTTCAACCAGAATTTTATGATTTTATAATATCTATATATTTCTAAGTTGTATCTCCCTGTTTCAGAGTAAAGTTTATTAGTGTATGCAAAGGGGACGACTCTTGTTCTAAAAAAAATGTAGAAAATAAACTTAAAAACTTAAACAAAATGGCAGTAATTTTTTCAATTCATATATGTAAATATGCTCATTATTGTTTTAAATGTAACATTGAAGATTTTAAATTCCGAGACATTCAACTTAACTGGGTTAAGAATTGCGAAAACACTCAAGCTAAAATAATTTGGCTGGGAATATTATCACCAAATATTGATCAAATATCAATTGTAAACGCAAATGAAAAATGACTGAGTTTATTTCAATAGGACATTTTCTTGTCTTTCTAAATTGGAGAGAAAAATGTGGAAAATAGGGAAGAAAAAATCGCAAAACTCACATCTTACAATAAGAACGCGAGAAAGTAAAATTTGCAAAAACGTTCTGTGTGCATTATTCTTCAATAAGAACCAACCGGCGATACTGGCCCGACAATTCCGTATGTTGAAAATATAAATAGGCGGTTTCATAAAGATGTTTTATCAATTGGGGGTTTCATAAAGATGGTTTGTGCAAAATCTCGAATAAATACAGGTGGCGGCGTCTAGCAAATGACATTGAATTCATACATTGTCTACAAACGCTCCTCCACATAAAACCAAACATAGTTTCTGATGGATATAATTGTAACGGTCTTTATACATCACAACAGCAGGGGGCAAGTGATGTGTGGCAGCCGTAAAAAGTTGCCCCGTACTTCACTTCAGTGTTGTTATATTTTTCTGGTTCTTCGGGATTATTGAGTCCAGCACTTTTAAGTGTTGAGAATTGAGTACCGCTAAAGCTGGTTCTAGGGGACGTGAGGGAAGTTGCACCTTTTCATTATACCTCATGTACAGAATCAATCAAACCGAGTCAGCAATTTTCGTGTAATTTTTTGCTATTTTAAACGCTTCCGAAGGATCACTTTTTCCAGAAATTTATTCATCGCAACAGCAGGTGTCAAGTGATGTGTGGCAGCTGTAAAAGGTTGTCCCGTACTTCACTTCAGTGTTGTTATACTTTTCTGGTCCTTCAGGATCATTGAGTCTAGCACTTTTAAGTGTTGAGAATTGAGTACCGCTCAAGCCGGTGTTAGGGGACGTGAGGGATGTTGCACCTTTACATTATCCTCATGTACAAAGAAAATCAAAGCGAGTCTGCAATTTTCGTTTTGCTGTGTTTAGTGCTACCGAGGGACAACTCTTTTCCAGATATTTAACCATACGCTATACGTATACCCTCTTGATCTTGATACTCTGACTTTTTTCTTCCGAATTTAAAGTTTGTCATCAGTAACGGAATAAGAAATATGATTAATATCTTAGAATAAGGTTATAATGTATATGTTGTTAAGGCGGATGGTTTGAATGCTATAATTGAAAATACAAGTACATTGTTTATTCAAATAGTCTTAAGAAAAGTTGCATTATTTTCGGGATACCCCTCGTAGATACCATGTTAAAGAAACGTTAAAGAACATTTAGCACGGCAAAAAAAACAACAACATAATTTATCTTTTATAAAGCAGCACAATTTTATGAAATATTTGTAATTTATAGCTTCGGTTAATGTGGCATTATATCAAAATTTGATTTTGTTATAAGAGGAAAAACTAAAACCAAAATTGAATGCTAGGCCAAACACTGCAATTAAAATATGCGAGAATTTGGACATCAAAATGCCATTAGTGCCCGAACTGTGCCTTTTATCTGTGCTCTACATACAGCACACTTTGAAAGAGCTGGTACACACTGAGAGCAACACATCATATGGCCACAGGGAAGGGTAATGATACAGGCTATAGCATCAAGACAGACCTTGCACGTTACAGGCTCTTTTAACTCTCTGTTTGCTGCTTCCATTTCCTCGATTGATTCCACAACATCTTCTTCTGTTTCTTCATCACTTGATTCCTCTTTATCTTTATCGTCTTTCCTTTCAAGTGGAAACGACAAGATTGATCCATCACATATTTCTTCAATATCTTGTACGGTTTTAACAAGTTCAACAGCCGTGAACCTTTTGTTTAGATCTTGTGCTATCAAAGACTTTATTGCCCTTTTAAGAACATCTTCATTTGAACAATATTCTCGAGCAACATTCACAGCATCTTCATTTCTTTGAATTGCAAGTTGTACAGTATCAATAACTTCGTCCGAATCGTCAACATCAGATCCAGAATCATAAGCCTGCTCTCCCAAAACATGTCGTATAAAACTTTTACCTTTACACTGGATCACGTGACCGCATTTAGGACTTGCTAGTATATGCTGTTTCCATGGACAAGCTCCTTCCGGCCAGTCACGAAGCCCAATACTACAGTAATAACACCTCACAGAGTCATCAACCCCTGTAAATGCAAAACCAGCATCAACGAGTTGCTCTATCGTTTGCGTTTTATTTTGTGGCCAGTTTTTGAAGGAAACGAGTCTTGATTGAACGGTACTGTATTCCCTGTATTTTGGTTTGCCAGTCCATATCCCTAAATTGTCGCATTCTGACACGCAATTTCTGCTTTGGAGTGATTCTTTGCACCAGGAATCACCTGCGATCTGGCCGTTATTTTGATTTCGTCTGCATGGTTTACGAAAATATTCCCGGAGATATTCTGAAGTATTTGGTCGTGGTAATACATCGGCCATCTGATATACTGTAAACAGTAGAATTTGCAATACTGTAAAAACATAATTTTAAATTCATTTTATGTTATTTCTTTTTAAATTATCGTTCTAACCCGCTTTAAACTATTCCCCGTTTTAACATACTGCATAATCGAGTGCATTATTCCACGATATATAAGCATATTAGAACTGAAATAGACATTAATTTATATTCTGCTGTGGTACAATAATGTAAGGATTATCGTTCAAATAACTGTAGCTTTAATCACTAAGGTACGGAAGAGTATACTGATTCCCCGTATATATTTCATATGTACGGAAGAGTATACTGACCCCCCTTATATATTTTATATGCCTGTTTAAAATACGACGATACATGATAACAACATAGTTCGTAATGGTTTTTTAAAAGTTATATATATAGTTCATATTGATCTTTTCTATTTTTTGGCTACTATACTGTTAAAGATACGTATTATAAACATAAGTCTTTCTTAAGACATTACCTTTATTTATAAGAATTATGATTTTTCTTCTTTTCAGTGAAATTCTACCTCATTAAGCAGACGTTTTCTTGGAGTGAACGCTTTTATTTATTTGAAAACAGTATGTTTTCGAGGCATTATTTGTTGGACAGATATAGAGATGATATAATCATATATAATATATATATTCTTTATCTGAGTTTTTAGCTTGGATGATGTTTTATATGTTTCCTAAAATAAGTTGATCGTTATGATAACACGCTTGCGGTACACAAGTATCTTGCCAGTATTATTTAAAATATTATAATTTAACTGATATATATTATTATTATATAAATGGTATTGAAACTTTGAGTAACTTATACTATAAATATTTCTTACATCTTTTTCAATGATTATACATGTTTTATTTATATCAAAACGAGAAAAGGGCCATTGAATATTATAATAATAGATGCGACTTATTATACCAAGAGTACGGAAACGTATAGCGACCACCCCTATATGTTAGTTAAAACAATTTTTTATTACACATTATATAACTAACCAATTTTTACAAACTTACTTGATCTGAAATATGTATCTAGTAATATCTACCGCCTCTGAATGTTAGTAAAACAGAATTTTAGACAATTTATTTAACACATGATATCTATTTGACCAATATTTTAATTGTTATTTGATATTGAATATATATTTTTTACTCAATCTGCTGTTAATATTTCTGGATTAAAATTTATGTGAGTTTTTTTCTGTTCATTTATATGTATTATATATATATTTGAGGCTTTTTTATTATAATATAAAATATTTTACAGTTTATATTTGATAATGAGGACAGAAAAATCCCACGCAATATATAAAGGAAGCAATTAAATCAAGTTATAGTGTAAATCATATATAATACGTATTTTTTCGTATCTATCGTACGTTTTTTAGCTTATAATGCAGGATAAACTGCTTTTTACTTTCTGACAAAATGAAAAAATAATACACTTACATCTTTTTAAATATGTATTTCTTTCCTCAAATCATATTTACATATAACAAACATACTATAAAACTATAAAAAATGTCATTTGATATATATCATATAAGGGTGGTCGCTATACGTTTCCGTACAAGAGAATCTAATTTAATTTATAAATCCATACATCTTTTTTCATGAGATTCATATGATAAAGGCTTAAGTATACAACAACTGTATGTTAAGAAGAACATTCTGTTCTCTTACATTTCCAAATATCATCGAAGAAACAATGCATATTTGTGATTTATGGTGTATAATAACAGATAAAACTCTGGAAGATCTATTTTAGATATCATATAACTTGTCAATTTTTTTAAGATATGTATTATACAAAGGGTTTTTTTTTTCTTGAAGGCATAAAAAATATATAAGGGGGGTCTGTATACTCTTCCGTACATATGCCTTAAAAAAGCCTTTGATAATACATATCTTTAAAAACTTGACAGGTTATATTATATATGTACGGAAACGTATAGCGACCATCCCTATATGATATATATCAAATGACTTTTTTTACAGTTTTATAGTATGTTTGTTATATGCAAATATGATTTGAGGAAAGAATTACATATTTAAAAAGATGTAAATGTTTTATTTTTTCATTTTGTCAAAAAGTTAAAAGTTTGCATTTTAAGATAAAAACGTATGATAAATTACAAAAAAATACGTATTATATATTTACAACATAACTTGATTTAATAAATTCCTTTTTCAAATACAAATGTCTTGACTTTTCTCGTGTCACACATCATATAAGACAAAATATCGCTTAAGCTTGGGATCTATGTTCCTATAATAACATAAGCTGGTCGAATATGCCTTTTTATATAATATTTATCATGTACCATCCTCTGTTCATACATTTAAAATGGTAAATTTGTCGGAAGTTATCGTTTTAAGCTATATATATTATATATCTTATAAATATAATGATTTCTATGATATCTATTTTACATCAGGTACTACTTCACTGGCTTATTTTATGCTTATTAACAACTAACATAGTTTGTCTTTTTCATATAATCTTTATCATGTAACACTATCTGAAGCACAATTATTTAAACATTCCTTAATCTTTGGAATACAAAAAGCCTCAATCAAATGTTTCATATATAATTTTTAAAAAGCTTTCTATTGTGCGAATTTTTTCTGTCCTCATTATCAAATATAAATTGTAAAATATGTTATATTATATTTTATAATGATAGAGGTATGCGAATTAAAAACCTCAATATATATATAATAACTAATACATATAAATGAACAGAAAAATGTTACATAAATTTGAATCCAGCAATATTAACAGCAGATTGAGTAAAAGATATATATTCAAGATCAAATAACAATATAAATATTGATCAAATATATATCGTGTGTTAAATAAATTGTCTTAAATTCTGTTTTACCAACATGCAGGGGCTGTAGATATTACTAGATAAATATTTCAGATCAAGTAAGTTTATAAAAATTGGTTAGGTATATAGTATGTATTAAATAAACTGTCAAAAATTCTGTTTTAACTAACATATAGGGGTGGTCGCTATACGTTTCCGTATATATGAAATAGATCTTAAAGAGTTTTATCTGTTATTATACACACTAAAATCACATATATACATAGTTTCTTCGATGATAGTTGGAAATTTAAGAGAACTGAATGTTCTTCATAACATACAGTAGATGTTACTTAAGCCTTAATCATATGAGCCTCAAATATGCATTAAATCATAAATTAAATTAGACTTACTTGGTATAATAAGTCGCTTCTATTATAATGATATCCTATTACCCTTTTCTCGTTTTTATCTAAAACCATGTAAATAAAATTGACTGAAAACAGAAACTTACAAATCATTGAGTATTTTTTTTTTGCTGTATTTTATTAATTTAAAAAAATTCGGGTAAAAAAAATTTCATTATTTTTTAGGGAAAAATTTAAAATGGTTTGAAATTTTTTAAAAACCCAAAAATAAAAAAAATTATATAAAGCCCCCCTTTTTTTATCTGATATAAAATGTGCTTATTTAGAATAGGAATTTTCATATCTCTAGCAAGCATCACAGTATGTTCTGTAGTTTTTCATCTAAAGATGGATAATAATTATGAAAAAGATGTAAGAAATTTTTATAGTAGGCCCTATAAGTTACTCAAAGTTTCAACTCCAGTTCTATAGTAATAATGTATAACGGTTATTGTATAGTTAAACATGTATTATAAAATGCTGGCAATGAACTCGTGTACCGTAAGTGTGTTATCATAACGATCAACTTATCTTAGGACCCACCCATTAAATAAAAAGTAATTATATAAGTTCTTAAGAAAGTTTTAAGTTAAAAATACGTATCTTTAACAGTATAGTAGCTAAAGAAGAAAAAAGATCAATATGAACTATTTAGTAACATGTAAAAAACAACATTACGATCTATGTTGTAATCATGTACCGTTTTCTTTAAAACAGGCATATAAGAGGGGTCAGTATGCTTTTCCGTACTAAGGTCTACCGACGCGTTTGAACTTTAAACTTACATTATTCATCAACAATACACTCAAATTTTGACATAGTCTTTGAAATTTTTT